CGAAAAGATGGCTACATCAGAGTGAGATGGAAGTTGAGTTGTTTCTCTCTGTTTAGGATCCTAAACATCAAGGGTTTTGTGAAAATCTGGAAAGTGGAAACAGGGGAAGGTTGAAGACGAGCAAAATTGGGATTTAATGCTTTTAACTTGAAACGACACCGTTTAATAAATCATTCCGACAAAAAATTAGGAGGACCGGCTGAGATCCAGTTTCCCGATCTCTCTCTCTCTCTCTACGCACACCAATGCATATAAAAGAGTCGCATTGAGGATCGGTAGTATTTATTCTGTTAAATGGTGTGCCTTGCTAGATATGGTTGATCATGGGCTTTTTGAGTTCTTGATTTTGCGTAATTTTATTTGCTAAAATCACTTCATGATAATAAGAAATATGATTGGTTGGCTTTCTTTGTAAATTCTGGTTAGGAATAAATTTGATACATGACTAACTTAGTAATTAATTAGTAAACTTATTTTCAATTGTTTGTTTTGGTCAAGTTTTATTCTCAAGGTTAATTTATGTTAATTGGTTGAGTGTTTCCCACCATGGTTTTCTTGTTGTGAACACAATGTATCCAGACTAAGTCCCAATATTAGTCCACACCCATCGCCCGCCAATGCAAACTTCCACTCAAAGAGTGCTGCAAAGTCATCTTCTTCATCAAATTTTGATTGAGGTGCTCCTGGTTCTTCCTCGTTGTGGCATTTCTTTGTCAATGGAAATCCACACAACCCAGAGTTCCCAATGTAGGAAGTATTTGAGAAAGTACTGAACTGCTTCCCTTGAGGAATGTCACCTTCAAGTTTGTTGTGTGAGAGGTTCAAAACTGAAAGGAATATCAAACTTGTCAACTGCTCAGGAATCTAGCCTTCAAGCTTGTTTGATGAGGGATCTAGCGATTCAAGCTCTGTCATTTTCCCCAAAGATGATGGAATTTGACCAATGAGATTGTTGTGAGACAAGTTTAGAAAATGAAGTGACTTGAGTTCTTCCAGTTCTTCAGGAATGTGTCCAACATGTTCCAATTCGGCTTCATCTTCATGTACATCTCTCATACCTATCAAAATTTTGAATTAGTTACTTGGTAGGAGACCCATGGTGTCATTCTGTGAATCATTAATGATTCTCAACTCAGAAAAGTAAAATGAAAGCATGGAGTTGTTAATGGCACAATGAATGGATTGAAGGATGAGAACTTTTAGCCTTCAAAGAACACCTAACCAAAGTGGAAAGGTGTCATTCAAATAGTTGTTCCCCACATCAAGAACATGCAATAAACTACAATAGCCCTAAGACCGCAGCAGTGTCCATTCCAACTGATTGCCATTTAGATTAAAAGATCTCAATTTACTCTCGTTGACAAAAGAATTTGGTATTATACCATGAAACTTGTTCATCTGCAAATCCAAGATGTAGAGATAACTAAAGTTTCCAAGACATTCTGGAATTTTTCCTCCAAACTATTATTAGCTAAGACTAGAACCCAAAGAGAAGTAAAATTGCAATAAGAAGAAGGGATTTTGCTAGTTAAATTATTCCCTGAAATGAAGAGTTGCATAACATCCCAAGCTGTTGATAGAATGGGAAGTGATCCTTGTAGTAAGTTGGAATTGAGGTCAACCCTGATAACATTTTCAAAAGCAAACAAATCTATACTAGTCAAGAAGTTATAAGAAAGGTTTAATCTGGACAATGACATCCCTTCTATTTCCCATTTGTGAATTTGACAAGAAATCTTGTTCTTGGAAATATCCAATACTTTCAAACTCTCTTCCTTCCTTAAGAAACTTGGGAACTTGCGTATGTTGCAAGAAGAGAATATTAAATACTAAAGGCTCGGAAAGGAATAGTTGACACCACTAATTACATAAGCTTTGTAATTAGTGGGTACAAACTCTACTAAGCTCTTGTTGGTTGGATTTTCAATTGTTCAACATAGGATTGCTTGTCTCATGTCAACAATCTTCCGTGATGGACAGAATAATTTCAAGCGACCACAATTCACAGAATTCAGCTTCCCACTAAAGCATTCACTTCCAAATTGAATCCCTTCCACATGTATCATCATTGCCAAACCATACAACACAATTCACCAAGCACCAACAAAGAGACTCACTCTCGGTCTTTTCCTCACTAGGTTCCTTTAATGAGTCAAAGAAATCAAATGACCCTTTTTTTGATAACTAAAAAATTACAGTAACCACATAAACAACAAACAAAATCAACCAAAACCAGAAAGAAGAAACAAAAAACACCCTATTATTAGATTCATTTAACAAAACGATAAAGCTGTAAAAAAACTAAGATATCAAGGGACATTGAGAAACTTTTACACTCCAAACTCAAATAAAAGAGAAAAATCACCAAAAGAAGCAGGAAGGAAAGGAAACAGAGGATGGAAGCTAGAGCATTGACATAACCAACGTCAATGTTGGTAAAGGATACAGCCATGAAACCCCCTGCAAATACTTCATTTTAGCATGGCAACTGCCACAAAAGTTGGACTTGATGTTGAATTTTGCCAAAAGAGAACTGCATTTCCATATATACATGTCAATCTAATGTCCTATACAGACCAGCATGAGCATTGAACCAACTCAACTGCCAAATATGAATGATCAGAGTTTGTAAACTCTAATAACAGGCCTTATCTTATTCTGCATTTCAGGTTTACTGCAAAGTTGAAGCTAGAAGGATGGGATTGCAATTTACAACACAAAAGAAGCCAGATTTGTAAACATCATTAAGAATAATGTTCCTCAAGTAGCAAAATTTATTGCCTTCATACTTGTAGTTTTGTTGGGTACTCCTGACTCCACTGGCAACCAAGTTGTTCTTAACGACCATGATGCCCTGCCCATTCTGTAAATTTTCAACAAAACTGACAGGCATTTTGAAACCAGCGCCTCTGACTCCAAACTTCTTTTCATTAAATCCCAGCGTAACATTAGCTATAGATTAATAAGTTCTATTTCCTTGATCCATATTGTTGGAGTATAAGTCAATAAGAAACCTCTTACATGATTTCTTTGCTTTGGAGAAAGTGTATGCCTTCTTGACCTGAACACTGTCATCAAAATGGATCTCCTGATTCACCATCTGAACATTCCCATTATCTCCCATCACCATTGAGTCACTATAACAAAACTTTTGAATGGCTTTAGTCATGATCTTGCCATGAGATGCCTTAACCCAACCAGTTGAGGATATGGACCTGTTTGCTTTTGTCAAGAAAGTTCCATTTAAACCCTTGAAATACCAAGAGGCATAACCTGATGCTGAAGAAGCTTCTCTTCAGTATATGTGTTCTTTCCATCCAACCAGAGATGCAAATTGGCGTCAATATACCACACATTTCAAAGCATTTGAAAATCGGAACTGCAATGTGTGTGTTTTACCATCCAACATATTCCCTAAAAATGGAGTAATTTCAATATCATATGAAGGGAGATCAAATGATCCAATGCCAGAAATTGGTCTCCGCAACAGCGGGTTAATCCCTCCTGTATAAACCACTGTAAAAGGCCAAATTGCACCAATCACATTTCCATCAAGAGTGACTACAACTTCCCTGAAAGGCCCATTTCCTGCTGTGTCAGTAAGATTATTAGCCAAAAGATAGTCATTTGGTGGATTTCCATGCCAAAAACTCATCACTCTCATGGAATGACACATACACCTCTAACACAGCCCTAAATACATTTTGAGGAATTTTGATTTCCTTCCCCTCAGTATCTGTGGAATTCTCAATTTCAAACCACAACCCATCATTCAATGGAAAATTCCGTGAAATGGGTAAAGATTAAATCAGCCCTCGAGCCATGCCCAGATGCCAAGTTCTCCAAATTGCTCTCAAAGTCATTGAATTTCTTCTCAGCAGGGTAATAATAAACAGTTATGTCAACATGATAAACGCCAGTATAAGTTCGATCAACTAAATTACCCAAATAAACAGCAAGACTTTGTGTCTCATTCTTAACAAGCAAAGAGTAATACCTTGTTATATCCTTCTTGACACTCCACACAATCCCAGTAGCTCTTGGCTCTGCAGAGCAGCTCCTAAGAAGCTCGACCCCATCTAGCCAGATCCCGAAAATCGATCAAATTGCCTTCCTTTGCAGGTGGCATTCCATTCAAGGACAATTTTCGAGAAATCGTGAGACGGGCAGTGACAAGGTAGGGTGTAGTTTGCTAGAACTGGGGGTTTCCCATATGTATAGCCGAAATCATGGTGGAGAATGGGATTGACGCAAGGTTGGGTCTTGGGAAGTCTGATGGGTTTGGTCACTTCGAAGTAGGTGGTTGGTGGGATGTCATTGAGGTGGGATGGTCGTAGTGGTGGAGGAAAGGAGACTTGATATGAGGAGGGTTTTAGATTTGCGGAGGGTGGCAGTGGCGGAGAGAGGGAGGAGTGGGAGAAAGAGAAAAAGAGGGCGGAAAGTGGAAGCCATGGATGCTGGTTGGGATTTCCTGCGGGGGATATGTTGTGCATTTGCATGGAGTGTGGACATTCCGAGGCAAGTGTAGAGTTGTTGGAGTTATAGTGCATTTATGGTCTTTTACTCTTTAGTATTACCTCCGCCTCAAATTAATTGTTTGTAAAATTTTTTATAGGTAAATTGTAAGTAATTTTTTTTATGTAATATATGACCTGTAATTACATGTTTTTACTTTGTACTTAATGTTTTGAAATAATTTTGTTTGTAATTATATATATAATGTGTTTAATTTAAAATTTGTTATTTATACGAGTTATTATTATTATTTATGTGATTTATTTTTCTTACAAGCCTTTCTTTGATTTTTTTATTTATTTGTATTTAATTTTTCTTTTATTTTTGAAAATTATTATCATTA